CACGATTGATCCATGTTCTCAAAGTGTTGAAAACTTACTTGGCAGCTCCTTGAACATGATGGCATTCGTCAAGATCCGCAAGAAATATGACAAGGTACTTATGGAAAATGGAAAATTACTGCAGACTTCTAAAAAGGTTTTTTAAATTTTCAGGTGACTGGAGTCTGGCAGTTACCTCAAGATGGTCGAAAACTCTCACTTTGCAACGTCGGACAAGGTGTGAAGAAATTTTCCTTTGAGGGTCTTGCTGATGGAATTTCATTGCTCCAATGCACTCCAGGTAGTAAAGTTTATGGACCGCGTAGAGAGAGTGTTCACTCTGCATTTTACGAAAGGCAACCGAAAGCAAGCCATGGCATATCTCAGGCCCATACACTCTGCGAGCAATCATGGAAATATAAACTTTATCCTGGGTAAGAGCAGGATATCCATTTCATGCATTCGGATCGTCGTTATTAATTAACCTTCTATCACCATTGATGATGCGACGCAGAGATTGTAAAAGGAAAGCACTCACCATACCTCTGGGAATAACTGTAATCTATTCATTTAATTTTCAGCTAGAACTTTCGCGGACCTTATCGTTTCTTCTTGCTGCGCTCTTTGGAAGGTTTGGTAGCCTCCTCTTCGGCGTTGTGGTCGGCTTCAAGTCTCGCCAGCTGCAAATCAAACAATGCTGTTGTGAGGATTCCTTCTTGAGACACCACTTTACCTTGTCAAGGACGGGTTTAAGTTCTCTGTAGCGTGTCTTTGCCAAGTCAAATCCATCCTTCCTGAGCTCCTGATAGATGCATAGAGCATGAAGAACGAGCGAAAGAAAACCTGCGTTGTCACCTTTCCAGTGTGTTGGGTGTGATCGTAAGGTGCCATTTGCCAATACATGATCGTCCAAGAGAAAAAATCCCTCAGCGTTTCTCCAGGCTGAAAGACAAATCAATAACAAAACAGGAAGATGAACTACTATCAGCACTCACCAAAAGTGTTTGTTGGGAATCAGCCAGGCCCAGCTCGGATCGATCTTTAATTTCCGTGCTTTTTGTGTCAGCTTTTTGCCTTCGCCCCTAAGAATAGCAGCTGCCTCTTCACAGTGACTCCACTGCATCCTAGAATACAAAAGGAAACCGACAAGTTTTCTTACATCCTTCTTTTTTACTACCTCGTCATCGTCCTCTTCGTCTTTTCCTTTATTAATCGATCCAGCATCACTGTTGTCACCATCAGTTTCGCCTTTCTCCTTACTAGCTTCAATCCACGCGCTTTGTGTTTCCTGCTTGAGACATTAGTATGAGGCTGGATGATGGCTCGATCATACTAACCTCAATAATGCACTTCCACACATCGAAGGTCCAGCGAGGAAAGGTCGTCGTGTCATTTTTTTTTTTGCCGACTTCTTTCATACCTCCATACAGAAACAAAGTATCCTTTCCAACGACCATTCCAGCATTCATTCTTCCACCAGGCAACAACCTTCAAGCAGAACGCTCAACGTTGAGACGCATTTTCCACATTTGGATCAACCACTTTCTTCTGCTTTGGATGCACACTTAACCACTACACAATCTCAGGTTGCCATACCTTAATCTTTAGGCTCTTTGGCTTGAGAAGCTCCAAAGGATACCTGCGAGCGATGGTGTTTAGATAATTTTTTACAAAAATCGACGAGATACAAACCATCTGGAAAGCATATACATCTCGATCATAAAAACGCTGTGCAGGGAATCACCTGCAAAAGACATTAGTTTTTCCAACGCATGCATTGAAACCGTACTCATCAGCATCAACTACACCACCAAACAAGATGTGGACAAAAATCCTGCTCTTGGCCAGGAGCCATACCGGATTTTTTCACCTTCACAAAACACATTGAAAAACTAAAACTCCAAACGAGAATGTAAAACAAGCCAACCTTGTCCCACTCCCAATCCGTGGATCTAACGTCCACATATCTGCGAGCACTACACCTTTGTCGGATTGATCTTTGTCAGGGGCAGGCTCTTTGAAATAGCCACCGTACAAGAAAATCTAGAAAAGAAAAAATGTTCACAACACGCAAAACTAAACTTTTAGTAGACAAATACCTCATCTAAATAAACAGCAAGCTGAGAACCAGTTCCAGCTGAAGGCCAGGCAGCTCCAAGCTTGGGTTTTATCTCTTGCCACTGCAAAAGGAAATCAGTTTAGTTGTTAAAAAACAAGGAAGAACGATGAGCGACAGAAACAAACCTTATAATCGTCTAAATCCAGCACTTAAAGATTATTGAAGTACCTGTGTCAAAAATTCAATACTAAACATCTACACTGCTGAAACAGCCGACCTTTCTTCCCTCAGCGTGTCATAAAATCCACCAAATAGAATAAGTTTATGTTTATGTGGCAAGAAAGAAAAAAAATAAAGATTATGTTTAGAAGCGCAATACATACCAATCTATGTCCGGAACGAGCACCTGGACAGCCTTTTAGTTGAAGCTGCTCCCGCCAGATATTTGTGTTTAAATCCAGTCTCCATAAATCCTGCAAGAACTCTCTTGTAAGTCAGCTAGAAACACACCTTATAGTGATGAAACCGAATTCACCACCTACACTGCCAAAATCAAGAGAAGTCCTGGAAAAATACATCATACCAAAAATGAAGAGCCAGTTTTTCCACGCAACCGCCTCGTGAGCGCTTCTCGGGGGAGGAGAGTTTGACAGGCTTCCACTCGTTCTTCTCGATGTTGTATTGGTATGCGCAGTGTCCTTGACGGGATTTACAGTCACCTGAAACGCAAGAAAAGAAGAATTCTAGAGAATGTGAGCTTCCAGAGTGGAGATTTCAATCGAATTCTTACGCACAGAGCAATTGCATTGTGGTGAAGGAGCTGCTACATTCTCATCGACATGAATTTCGCTCTTCTTTGCTTTCTCCTCGTGGAGTTTAGCCTGACAAAAAGGAAAACGATTGAGAGTCTTTGGCCAGAGCTTTGCTTACCTAGATCGCATCAATATCAACCCTAAACCGGTTCACTTTTACAAGTTTACTCAAGAATAGCAGCTGCCTCTTCACAGTGACTCCACTGCATCCTACAAAAGGAAGCCGACAAGTTTTCTTACATCCTTCTTTTTTACTACCTCGTCGTCGTCCTCTTCGTCTTTTCCTTTATTAATCGATCCAGCATCACTGTTGTCACCATCAGTTTCGCCTTTCTCCTTACTAGCTTCTATCCACGCGCTTTGTGTTTCCTGCTTGAGACATTAGTATGAGGCTGGATGATGGCTCGATCATACTAACCTCAATAATGCACTTCCACACATCGAAGGTCCAGCGAGGAAAGGTCGTCGTGTCACTTTTTTTTTGCCGACTTCTTTCATACCTCCATACAGAAACAAAGTATCCTTTCCAACGACCATTCCAGCATTCATTCTTCCACAAGGCAACAACCTTCAAGCAGAACGCTCAACGTTGAGACGCATTTTCCACATTTGGATCAACCACTTTCTTCTGCTTTGGATGCACACTTAACCACTACACAATCTCAGATTACCATACCTTAATCTTTAGGCTCTTTGGCTTGAGAAGCTCCAAAGGATACCTGCGAGCGATGGTGTTTAGATAATTTTAAAAAAATCGACGAGATACAAACCATCTGGAAAGCATATACATCTCGATCATAAAAACGCTGTGCAGGGAATCACCTGCAAAAGCCATTAGTTTTTCCAACGCATGCATTGAAACCGTACTCATCAGCATCAACTACACCACCAAACAAGATGTGGACAAAAATCCTGCTCTTGGCCAGGAGCCATACCGGATTTTTTCACCTTCACAAAACACATTGAAAAACTAAAACTCCATACGAGAATGTAAAACAAGCAAACCTTGTCCCACTCCCAATCCGTGGATCTAACGTCCACATATCTGCGAGCACTACACCTTTGTCGGATTGATCTTTGTCAGGGGCAGGCTCTTTGAAATAGCCACCGTACAAGAAAATCTAGAAAAGAAAAAATGTTCACAACACGCAAAACTATACTTTTAGTAGACAAATACCTCATCTAAATAAACAGCAAGCTGAGAACCAGTTCCAGCTGAAGGCCAGGCAGCTCCAAGCTTGGGTTTTATCTCTTGCCACTGCAAAAGGAAATCAGTTTAGTTGTTTAAAAAACAAGGAAGACCGATGAGAAACAAACCTTATAATTGTCTAAGTCCAGCACTTAAAGATTATTAAAGTACCTGTGTCAAAAATTCAATACTAAACATCTACACTGCTGAAACAGCCGACCTTTCTTCCCTCAGCGTGTCATAAAATCCACCAAATAGAATAAGTTTATGTTTCTGTGGCAAGAAAGAAAAAAATAAAGATTATGTTTAGAAGCGCAATACATACCAATCTATGTCCGGAACGAGCACCTGGACAGCCTTTTAGTTGAAGCTGCTCCCGCCAGATATTTGTGTTTAAATCCAGTCTCCATAAATCCTGCAAGAACTCTCTTGTAAGTCAGCTAGAAACACACCTTATAGTCATGAAACCGAATTCACCACCTACACTGCCAAAATCAAGAGAATTCCTGGATACCAAAACTGAAGAGCCAGTTTTCCACGCAACCCCCTGGTGAGCGCTTCTCGGGGGAGGAGAGTTTGGACTGGTGACAGGCTTCCACTCGTTCTTCTCGATGTTGTATCGGTAGGCATCACCATAAACGTAAGTCTAGCATAGCAAACACGAAGATCAAATCACCGTAGCGAAACTAACCACAAACCTTGTCACCATTGACGATCAGCGCAGTGTCCTTGACGGGATTTACAGTCACCTGAAACGCAAGGAAAGAAGAATTCTAGAGAATGTGAGCTTCCAGAGTGGAGATTTCAATCGAGTTCTTACGCACAGAGCAATTGCATTGTGGTGAAGGAGCTGCTACATTCTCATTGACATGAATTTCGCTCTTCTTTGCTTTCTCCTCGTGGAGTTTAGCCTGACAAGAAGGAAAACGATTGAGAGTCTTTGGCCAGAGATTGCTTACCAAGATCGCACCAATATCATCCTCGTCTAACACCTTGTCGTGGCGACGAACTCGCTCGGTCTTCTCTTTTCCCTTTCCCCTTCTTCCCCATTTTATCTGTTCTAAACCCTAAACTAACTCGTGCTTACATTCTTATCCACAGCTGGGAGAAGTTTACTCATGATCACTCGATCTAGGGCAAACTTCCATGGAGGAGGAGCGACGAGTGTGGATCCGCTGTTGGTCTGTCAAGGAGATCAAGGAGGCTCTCGCAGCGAAGCGGGACAACAAGCGGCACTTCAATGCGATTGAGTTTTATTGTGGGCTGGAGCCCTCATACGAAGGTGAGTTTGTTGATCAGGTGAGTGCTGCCGTCGAGAGTTTTGGAGGCACAGAGGAGGATCTGATTGGTGTGCTCAACTGGTGCATTTCAAACCCGCCCAGGTTAGACAGGGCTCTGGATGTGGGAGATGCTCCTGGTGATGGCAGTTCGTCTGCTGCTGCTGCTGCTCACATTGACATTCTCAAGGCCGCTTTGGTACCACAGCTCGACATCAGATTCATCCACTTCGCTGCCAGGGTCGCTTGTAGGTTGGGCATTCCCAGTGATCGGATGCAAAGGGTGGCAGAGGGCATTGCTCCTCCTCAGCAGGGACAGGATATTTGGCAGATTGAGGTGCAGAGGTTTGCAAAGCTTCTGATGATAGAGGAATTCAAGGTCTTGAAAGGGCTAGCTTTCTATTGGGAAGGCAAAGACATCCTCACACCACCTCAGGAGCTTGAGATGGCCTTTGCTCAGCTCGACTGCTTGACAGAGCTCTGGTTGCGCAATGTTGGGAACCCAGAGACTCTCCTTAGCCAACTCCTTAGGAAAGCAGGAAACAACTTGAAACGTCTCGAATTGCTGGCGAACAGGTTGGTGGGGAACAGGATGACAGTGGAAGGATTTGGGAAATTGAGTAGGGATCTGGCAAGTCAGGAGTGCAAGGTGGAAGAGTTAGCCATCCTGGATGAGGGCATTGCCAAGGAAGGGTGGGAACAGGCATTTCAGAATGGCATTTGCAATAAGCTAGTAAAACTGAGGGCATCGTTTCCAGAGGGGGCAGGTGAAGCACTCTTCAAGGCACTCACGAGTCCAAGCTGTTCGCTGCAAAGACTAGGCCTATATCGGGATCCTGCAGTGTTGCCATGGGTATGCAAGGCTCTTCAGGAGGGCACCAGCCTGTCAGTTTTAGATTGCCGAAGTGAGGACCTGAGCAATGCAACGGGCCTGGGTGAGGCCCTGAGCAGCGCTAAGTGTGGCTTGGAGGAACTCCGCGTTAGACTTTATCCAGGTGATGGTGGTGGATGGTTGGGCAAAGCGCTACAAAATCCCAATTGCAAGCTAATCAAGCTTCATCTTGAAATTTGTTTACTCTCCTCAATTATATATATATGTCATCCCATAAAACTAAACACTGTATTGTGCTTTAACTATTGTAAGCAATAATTTAACAAAAAAAAGTTTTTGAGTGTTTGTAGACACTTTTTACAAAATACAAAATATGTATTAAACACCATTTATATTTATTTTAAAAATGAAGTATAAAGATATTTTTTACTATGAAATCATTTGCAACACATCAAGTGTTACTTGAGAGTAGCTCTAATGAAAATGCTTTCTAAATACTTATTTTGAAAATTCTAGTAAATATTCATTTTTGAAAGGTTGTTTAATTTTAAATTGTTTTCTTTCTTGCTAGGTTATTTACAAATATTAACTTATATTATTTATGGCACTATAATCTCCTGAATTTGGGCTTTCTAAAAGGTCATCTAACCCAATACTATTTAAAGATGCTTAATCTCAAATAACCCAAAACTTATAACTAATTGGAACAAAGGGTACATTTCTATATTTAAAACAATATTAATAATTTTTTAAGTTATTATCTTTGGTTGTTTATAATCCATCATGCTTTTTTGGAAGTTCACGCCTTCGTAAATGGAAGTTGAAAGTTGCAACTCTTCTAAGAGTCCCGCTCTTTTAACACCTTACCCCTCGAGTTGAAATTGGAGTAAAGTAAACTTAATAAATATCAATCTTAACATGTGGTGTGATTTCTTTAATCAATTAATAGAGTCACACCTTAGACTTCTCTAATACCAAATATAAGTTTTTAAATTTGGACTTCATAAAAGGTTATTTAGCCATTTGGGTATCCAAAAGTGGAACTGGACACATAGAGCATTTAAACTAAGTACAAAGTTGATGTGGTTACAAGAACACATTTTAAAGTTAGCAAACACCCAAATTAATATCAGGGCCTATAGAGATTATGAGTGAGACTCCTTTAGATGATCCTAAAGTAAAAAAAAAATTAATCATTTATAAAGATGCCGAAAGCATGGTGATGGTTGCGATCACCACCACCATAACAAAAATGACAAGCCATAATTATAGTATACTGCTATTTACATTGCCTTGATAAGCATTTATAACATGCAAAAATTCAAAAATAAACTTTATTGAAACCTTTGCAAACTCAACCAAGTTTATGAGCTAAATGAAGAAGTTTGGTTTAGAGATGTTTGCCTAAGCTCACTCCCAATCTTTATCTCATCCTTGTCTAGAGAACCAACATCTCAATCATTTATTATACCTTGTAAATTGGTAAGAAAAAGCTTCAAATTATCACTAATATACTGGTTTATATGATTTTTCAAATTTTTGGGCTAGTATTTAGTATTAGGTTGCTAAGATTTTATGCCAAGCTAAGTAATTTCTCAAGAGAAAGATTTAAGTGAATTTGAAATAAACTCTTTGTAGACAATAACTTACAAAAGAAAAAAGGGTAAGTCACTATATTATTTATATATGGAACTTATTAAAGAGGACCTGCTCGATAAAAAATACATTGTCCAACTTAGGGCTTTATGTATTGATTGAGTGGAGATAGATTATCAAGCAAAGATGAACATTTGGCTAAAGCTTTGATTTATTAATGGTTTTGTTGAGATTGGGCAAAATGTTATTATAAATTTATAGTTCATTTTGTAAGTGATTGGATTAATTTTTGTTACTCTTTACAGTTGGACAATCTCAAGAGTTTCCTCTTTTGCTTTTGAAGGAGAACTTTGTTTGTGCTTGTACAAATAAGTTAAGTAAGACAATCCAAATACAAAAGGAATCCATATGACCGCTGCCACGTGTATCAAAAAATTGTAGCTTTTCTTATAATTATTTTTAGCTGTGCATCATTTACAAAACTTACACTCTACAAATCTCACTCGCAAGAGGTTTTTACTATATCACCAAAGTTGTTAGTAACCTTGTGTAAAATTGATAGCTTGTCCTTAAATATCAACAATGGATTGTATTTCATTTTCATATCCAACATAGAAACATTTATGGATGCCTTGTGGTACTAAGTATTTACCAAATGACCACTTAATTCTAGATTCAATGTTTGTATTACAAAGAAAAAAAAGCAAGAGAAGGAATATTTGGATTTTATGCTCCAAAAGTAATAAGAGTGAGAATAGCACCTTAGAATATCTAAACCAAATAACACTTGAGATTCATTAATTGTCCTTGAAAGCCAAGATATCAACAAAAAGTAGTGATCACAAGAATAATAGAATAAGTGGTTGCATTTGAAATGTTGGAGATAAGTTAATACTACATTCTCAAAATAAATACTATAAATAGAGAATGTTATTAGGTGACTGGAGTCTGGCAGTTACCCCAAGATGGTCGAAAACTCTCACTTTGCAACGTCGGACAAGGTGTGAAGAAAGGACTCACCATACCTCTGGGAATACCTGTAAATACCCTTCGATCCAGGGCAAACTTCCATGGAGGAGGAGCGACGAGTGTGGATCCCCTGTTTGTCTGTCAAGGAGATCAAGGAGGCTCTCGCAGCGAAGCGGGACAACAAGCGGCACTTCAATGCGATTGTGTTTCATTGTGGGAAGATCTGGAGGCTGGAGGCGCTTGACGCATCCAAAGGTGAGTTTGTTGATGAGGTGAGTGCTACCGTTGAGGGGTTTGGAGGCACAGAGGAGGATCTGATTGGTGTGCTCAACTGGTGCATTTCAAATCCACCCAGTTTAGACGGGGCTCTGGATGTGGGAGATGCTCCTGGTGATGGCAGTTCGTCTGCTGCTGCTGCTGCTGCTCACATTGACATTCTCAAGGCCGCTTTGGTACCACAGCTCGACATCAGATTCATCCAGTTCGCTGCCAGGGTTGCTTGTAGGTTGGGCATTCCCAGTGATCGAATGCAAAGGGTGGCAGAGGGCATTGCTCCTCCTCAGCAGGGACAGGATATTTGGCAGATTGAGGTGCAGAGGTTTGCAAAGCTTCTCATGACAGAGGAATTCAAGGTCTTGAAAGGGCTACGTTTCGATTGGCGAGGCAAAGACATCCTCACACCACCTCAGGAGCTTGAGTTGGCCTTTGCTCAGCTCGACTGCTTGACAGAGCTCTGGTTGGACAAGGTTGGGAACCCAGAGACTCTCCTTAGCCAACTCCTTAGGAAACCAGGAAACAACTTGAAACGTCTCCAATTGCTGGGGAACAGGATGACAGTGGAAGGATTTGGGAAATTGAGTAGGGATCTGGCAAGTCAGGAGTGCAAGGTGGAAGAGTTAGTCATCGAAGATAACCACATTGGCAAGGAAGGGTGGGAACAGGCATTTCAGAATGGCATTTGCAATAAGCTAGTAAAACTGGTGGCAACGTTTCGAGAGGAGGCAGGTGAAGCACTCTTCAAGGCACTCACTTGTTCAAACTGTTCGCTGCAAAGACTATACCTATATTCGGGAAGTGATCCTGGAGTGTTGCCATGGGTATGCAAGGCTCTTCAGGAGGGCACCAGCCTGTCAGTTTTAAATTGCCAAGGAATGAGACGGAGTGAGGACCTGAGCAATGCAACGGGCCTGGGTGAGGCCCTGAGCAGCGCTAAGTGTGGCTTGGAGGAACTCAGGGTTACACTTTATCCAGGTGATTGTGGTGGATGGTTGGGCAAAGCGCTACAAAATCCCAATTGCAAGCTGATCAAGCTCAAGC